AGAGAGAGAGAGAGCCAGACGCTTCATCTATCTTCCTCCGAGGAGGTGGATGTGATGAGTGTCGAGACAGAGGAGACTGTGGACTCGCCACCACAGTCCCTCGCTTATGGGGTGTGATTCGTGCAGTAGCCAAAATAAAATATCGTTTGGCCAGCCGAGAAACAGGACGCTCGTCCTAAAAGTAATTAGATGAGCGTTTTCTGGAATCCAGATCACAGCCGCACGACGGGGCCTTCCGTTTTTTCCCCGATCTCCATGCTGAGGTGTCAAAACCGTACTCATCCCGTATTTACAGCCCCACAGTCTCGAATTATTCAAGAGAACATCGTAGGGCTGAATGATAAGGGATATGGGGCGATGCCAGTGGTGGAGCAGACGCCTGCGAGCTATCTCTCCCCATCCTCAGCATCGTCCCTGAAGGCCCCAAAGTTTCCCACCAGGCCAGTTAGGCTTACATCGAGTCTGGTTGAGAAAGCTTATACGGCGGCAGGTCAGGCTGGCGCATGTTTGCACACCATGGCTGTGATGAGTGTCGAGACAGAGGAGACTGTGGACTCGCCAGAGGTGTGATTTGTGCAACTATGGGGTGTGATTCGTGCAATAGCCGAAAAAAAAAATAAAAAATTGTTTGACCAGCCGAGAAACAGGACGCTCGTCCTAAAAGTAATTAGATGAGCGTTTTCTGGAATCCAGATCACAGCCGCACACAGATGCGTGTCTCACGGGCTGGGGGGCAGTCATGAGTGGCCGCCCTGCCCAGGGTCTGTGGGAAGACCATCATCTCACTTGGCACATCAACTGCCTGGAGATGCTGGCCGTGTTTCAAGCTCTGACACCCTTCCTTCCAGACCTAAGGGGACCTCATGTGCTTGTCCACACAGACAACACATCGGTGGTCTTCTACATCAATCGGCAGGGGGGTCTGCGTTCGCGCCCCTTGTACAAGCTGGCACGCCAGATCCTTCTGTGGGCTCAGGGGAAGCTCCTATCGCTAAGAGCAGTCTACATCCCTGGGAGCTGGTTTGCGCTCTGCCGGATGCGCTTTTATACTTTCTGGTGCTTACGTCACCCCGCTCGTGACGTCTCGCTGCTCCATTGGACTGATTTGACACGTGCTTCAGAACGCGGTCACGCAAGGGCGTTCCCAAAGCGATCTCGACGCAGCGTCTCGTTCCCTCGGGGAACCATGGTTACATACGTAACCTAGAGACGTTCCTCTTCCTCCGAGAATGCAGGATGTTTGCATGAGAAAGAGGTACAGTGCTTTGAGCAAAACAAGTGTCAGTTCTATTACTGGCATTCGATATTTCCTTCACATCCACACACAGAGGGGTTCATTCACTTTGAATATTATCTGGAAAAATGACTGATCCGGCTCCATTGTTTAAGGTCATGCTGTTCATTAAAACTGACACGCCGTTTCTCAGAGCGATGCTCGTGCCCTGACCTTTCTCAAAAAGTCAACAGCTGTCTAGTTTTCTGCTAGCGGAACTAAACTTCACCAATTGGTCCTTCAAAATCCACCTCCATCTTAATTGAACTTTGATCTCAATTAAGAATGAAGATGTGTGGGCCCTGAAGTATATTATATCATGAAACAGCGTCAGTGACCAAAGCTAAATGCAGACGCAGAAAGAAAATGGCAATCGACGCCAGGGTTGCGCTTAGATTTGTTGTTAGCCGGTGTAAATGAGCACAGAACTCCCCAGAGGCCTGATTTGTGGAAAACTGAGTATTAGCGAGCCATCATTTTGTCAATACATACTTTCATTGCTGTGGGAGCAGTCATTGTGATGTATTAAAAGTGAGGCTGCACAGAGCCGCAGGGTTTAGCAGGCGAGACTACACAACTGTGTGAGAATTCAGTCTTCGTCATGACAGTCGGGTTTGTGCTTGTATTTGTGTTGCTGTTGATTTGAAGTTGGTAGCCTATTGTGTTTAACTAGCTATTGTGTTCTTTCTTTCCATCTCCCAGTTTATATTTTTTTCTGCATTTTATCAATTCAAATTACCTGCACATCAGTAATAAAGAAAAATAAAATAAACACGCAGAAATGTGATGATAAATTAGAACTTTGAATAATTAACACTGTGCACTGCAAAAAATGACTTATCTTACTTAGTATTTTTGTCTTGTTTCTAGTCAAAATATCTAAAATATCTTTTACTAGATAAGCCAAATGACTTAAAATATTTAGTCTTGTTTCCAGGGGGAAAAACTAAATTAAGTGCATTTTGCTTAAAACAAGTAAAATGATCTGCCAGTGGGGTAAGTAAAATAC